TTAACTTCTAGCTATCTGAAAATGAATACAGACCCAATCTCATGAGCTAAAAGAAAACAGATAGTTAAAACACTTATTTCTATTTTATTTTTACCCTTTTACTAGTAGTAATGATTTAAATCAAACCATGGTTAAATCTGGTACAGATTTTCTATGCTTCCTTCACTTGACTGTAATAGCTTAATGCTATTATATTGTTCTCACTGATCAGCACACACTTTTCTCCTGTAACACACTGATCAGCACACACACCTCCTGTAACACTGTAGTACAGTAAGACACTGATCAGCACACATAACGGTGTGATCAACACGCACACGTGTTACACAACACATGTAACGCTGTACTGTGTCAGGAGCCGAAGTAACACCGGGATTCGGCCATTTCCGCCACAGAGGATGCGGCACACAACACAAACCATCATCCTGGTAATCCAGCCCGAAACTGCGTCCTGTCTGCTACCGGCGCCTGCTTAACATTTCTCTCACCTTTTCGATCTCCTCTGTCCACCGTCTTCGTTAAATTCCGCGATGATCTCTAAGCGAAAAATACTTTAAAAAAAACTGATGATGGCGATAGGCGTGGCGGAATATTGTGACTGACGTTAACCGCACTCGGGAGTAACGTTTCCCGAGCGAAATCACTAGTTGTATTTAGTGCACTTGTCCAACCGTTTTACTAATTAATAAAATCTTAACTCTTTACCGAATTCACACGGTAAACCGTGGGCAACGGGAGAACTGTAACCAGGCAGCGTCCGCAAACACAGCGGCCCCGACTGCTCAGGGCGTCCCTACCTGTGGCCCCCGGTGGGCGTGACGCGGCGTGACGTGCACCTCGCACCTGCCCAGGTGAGATCCGGGAGCTACGGGCGAGGCACGCTGGTTCTGTTCACCCCTCCCCTCCCTACCTGTCGCGCTGCCCTCCGCGCGATTTGTCGCGTTGAACGTTGAGGCGAATGTGAAGAAAGTTAAGAAGGTGAAGTTTTTTTTTTGGTCTTTTTTCTTCACGCCGAGGAGAGCTCAGTCGTGGTGCTTTGAATCGCGGCGTGAGATTTTCTTTCGCCCTGCAGCTACTAGAGAGCAGGTGAATATGATCATCATCATAATAATCCTTACACTTTCTGGACACTCCACTCAAAGCGCTGTACAGGTAATGGGGATCCCCTCCACCCCCACCAGTGTGACGCGCCACCTGGATAACACATGATACACATTGTCCCCTCAGGGATAATAAAGACTCTCTCTCTCTCAGTGCTCAGTTTTGTTGAGGTCCTGGGACGAGCTCACCATGAGCGAGAACTCTGTGGGTCTTGAACCCAGATGTTGTGCCAGGACTTCCAGATGTGAACCCTCCTGCGTCTCGCCCTCCTGAGGAGTTCCACTGGGCGCCTGCCCTGGGTCTGCCCGCAGAGGGCACTGCTGGGGCGGTTTAGTCTGGTTCGGATCCCGATT